AAGTGAAGTGAAGTGAACTCCGGGCTCACCATACCCCGTGCTGCTTGGAGCGTTTGTTCCCAGTGGCTGGCTCTAGAACAGCAACAACAAGGAACTGAATGGTCCACTTGCTCTAAAGACTGCCATCACCCATCACTGCATTCACATTACCAACACAAATAGCTAGTGCTTTACTAAACAGGAAAACAAAGCTGCCTGGTCGACGGAACCACACTTGCCTGAGCCCTGATGCCTGTGAGAACCAGAGAAAAGTTAGAGGTTAGATCAACACTGATGGTTCTGTTACACTATTAATGGCAGGTCTGGTTCCTTATTCTGTAGTAAAGCCTTCCAACCAAAAAAAAAAAAAAAGAAAAACCACGAGCTGAGAATCGTATCCTATATCAATCGTTCTCGACACAGAATTGGAGATCTGCAGTTCGATTCCGGGGCAGGGCAGAAATGGCTGGGCACGTTTTCTTTTTCCTAATGCCCCTGTTCACCTAGCAGTAAATAGGTACCTGAGAGTTCGCAACTGTTGTGGGGTTGCATCCTGGTGAAGGTCAGTAGTTCCATAGATAGATAGATAGATAGATAGATAGATAGATAGATAGATAGATAGATAGATAGATAGATAGATAGATAGATAGATAGATAGATAGATAGATAGATAGATAGATAGATAGATAGATAGATAGATAGATAGATAGATAGATAGATAGATAGATAGATAGATAGATAGATAGATAGATAGATAGATAGATAGATAGATAGATAGATAGATAGATAAATAAATATAAGCTTGGTGTCTGCGACGAGGGGAAGTAGAGGGGGGGAAGCAGAAGGAGTCACTAAACGTGAGCATAAAGAAGACAAGAAAGAGAGAGTCAGTCGCTGACAATCAGGGGGCCAGATTCACGAAAGCACTTACGCAAATACTTACGAACGTGTACATCTTTCCTCAATCTTTGGCGGCTTTGGTTACATTTATTAAACAGTTTACACGCATGAAAACTTGCCAATCAACTGATAAACAGCCTCCTGGTGCTTCGGAGTTCATTAACTGTTTAATAATTGGAAACAAAGCCGCCAAAGATTGAGAAAAGATGTACAGGTTCATAAGTGCTTTCGTGAATCTGGCCCCAGAGACGTGTGAAGATGGTGAGAGTGGTGAGGGAAGGTTGATGATCCTGGTCCGTGGAGGCCCTCTACTGTTGCAACCTGTTGAAGTACACCAGCAGATGTGTTGGCTGCTGACGGCCACAGGAGGAGGAGGAGATCATGTTAAATATGTCTTCTACAAGGACCTCCTACAACCTGTAGAGTTATCACCAGTCAGCGAGGCGAGGGTGGCTGCAAACTTCGTCTTGGATACATGTCATCCGCGAAGTCGTCCAGGATACGTGTATTCGCGGCTTGCTGCAGAACACATTCACAATATACAAGCTGAAAACAACATTGCACAGACCATATACACTGACGGATCACTCAATACAGCTACAGGGAGGGCAGGAAGTGCTGTTATTGCTCATCAGCCCGATGGCAGCACAATTCAAAGAAATATCCGAATTAGTAACTGGGCGTCCACAATGCAGGCCGAGTTGGTAGCGATACTGGTAGCACTCGAAATTATTGTCAACACTGAAGTAGACAGCTTAATTATTTCTGACTCCCTTTCCTCACTACGAGCAATAAACAGTTTGCAATTAAGTAATAACGTGCTTGTCTTGGAAGCTAGACGTAGATATATAAGAATACTTAGCAAGAGGGTAAATATAAAAATGTTGTGGATTCCTTCTCACATTGGCTTGCAGGAACATGACAAAGTTGACGCCCTTGCTAAGGCTGCAGTAAATAAAGACAGTATTGAACGGAATTTTGAGTTATCAAATAGGTCCCTTAAAAGTGTCATCAGATGAGAACTCCTGGAAGGATTTGAAGAAAGTAGAACTGTGCAAACTGGAACTAGCAGGTCCATTGTTCATCACAATGAAATGTGTGAAGTAAAACATGTGTATGTGGCCAGTAACAAAGTCAGTAGACTAACAGATGTTGTCACAGCTCGTATAAGACTTGGCTACAAGTATCTCTGGCAGTTCTGCTTGTATAGGGATCTAGATGAAGTAAAGTGTAAAGTGTGTGGACAAAGACAGGGACACACACTCGAACACTATATCTTGGATTATAGTAAAATTGAGCCATTTAGAGATAAATCTAAGCTCACTCTGTATGATATGGCAACCTATCTTATTACCATGGATAAATTACCTGAAATCCTTGCACTGTATCCATATTTCGCTTCCAGTAGATGAACGACATATGAGATTAAGAAACAAGTAGTGTATTGTGAGGACTAATAATAAACAGAAGCTCCCCTATGACTCTGTAATATCCCCATTGGCCAAACTATTATGTATTAGCGATAAGACCTACCATTAATGTATGATGACTTACTGTAAATATATAGCTCTTGAAATAGCACTCTCTCTGTAACTAGCTGACATTGTAACTATAAGGTGTGAAGGATAGATGAAATTGTTTATGTAATAATCTAAGATGAGGTCTGATAAAGACCTTTTGTGCCCTCTGTAATGCTTTTTGCGCTACCGCTCACAGGATGAGTATGGGGGCGGAGCAGGCAACAGTCAGGGCGGTGGCTCCGGGTGGAGGCGGCGAGCAAGCAGCCCCAGGCTCTGTATTATGAATGTTATGGGTATTTTTCTCTCTCCTCGTGTGTATTTGATAATTTTAGTGATTAATTGTATATTTATTTACTGAGTCAATCCTTATGAAGCAGGAACTGGGCTGCGTCTGTCAGTGGCACAGTGTCATCTGTCCCAGATACAGTAAGTCGTGGTTGAGACAGCGTCCATTTGGTCCTCCACAATGTTTACACGTTCTTCTGTCGTGTTGGTCCAGATTTCTTCATTATATGGAGGAGCGCCATCATATAGTGTGTGCTAGGATGCGTCAAGGGGTGTTGGGTGTGTCAGGAGGTGTTGGGTGTGTCAGGGGGTGTTGGGTGTGTCAGGGGGGTGTTGGGTGTGTCAGGGGGGTGTTGGGTGTGTCAGGGGGTGTTGGGTGTGTCAGGGGGGTGTTGGGTGTGTCAGGGGGGTGTTGGGTGTGTCAGGAGGTGTTGGGTGTGTCAGGGGGGTGTTGGGTGTGTCAGGAGGTGTTGGGTGTGTCAGGGGGTGTTGGGTGTGTCAGGGGGTGTTGGGTGTGTCAGGGGGGTGTTGGGTGTGTCAGGGGGTGTTGGGTGTGTCAGGGGGTGTTGGGTGTGTCAGGGGGGTGTTGGGTGTGTCAGGGGGGTGTTGGGTGTGTCAGGAGGTGTTGGGTGTGTCAGGGGGGTGTTGGGTGTGTCAGGGGGTGTTGGGTGTGTCAGGAGGTGTTGGGTGTGTCAGGGGGTGTTGGGTGTGTCAGGAGGTGTTGGGTGTGTCAGGGGTGTTGGGTGTGTCAGGGGGTGTTGGGTGTGTCAGGGAGTGTTGGGTGTGTCAGGGGGTGTTGGGTGTGTCAGGAGGTGTTGGGTGTGTCAGGGGGTGTTGGGTGTGTCAGGGGGTGTTGGGTGTGTCAGGGGGTGTTGGGTGTGTCAGGGGGTGTTGGGTGTGTCAGGAGGTGTTGGGTGTGTCAGGGGGTGTTGGGTGTGTCAGGGGGTGTTGGGTGTGTCAGGAGGTGTTGGGTGTGTCAGGTGTTGGGTGTGTCAGGGGGTGTTGGGTGTGTCAGGAGGTGTTGGGTGTGTCAGGGGGTGTTGGGTGTGTCAGGGGGTGTTGGGTGTGTCAGGGGGTGTTGGGTGTGTCAGGGGGTGTTGGGTGTGTCAGGGGGTGTTGGGTGTGTCAGGGGGTGTTGGGTGTGTCAGGGGGTGTTGGGTGTGTCAGGGGGTGTTGGGTGTGTCAGGGGGTGTTGGGTGTGTCAGGAGGTGTTGGGTGTGTCAGGAGGTGTTGGGTGTGTCAGGGGGTGTTGGGTGTGTCAGGGGGTGTTGGGTGTGTCAGGGGGTGTTGGGTGTGTCAGGGGGTGTTGGGTGTGTCAGGGGGTGTTGGGTGTGTCAGGGGGTGTTGGGTGTGTCAGGGGGTGTTGGGTGTGTCAGGGGGTGTTGGGTGTGTCAGGAGGTGTTGGGTGTGTCAGGGGGTGTTGGGTGTGTCAGGAGGTGTTGGGTGTGTCAGGAGGTGTTGGGTGTGTCAGGGGGTGTTGGGTGTGTCAGGAGGTGTTGGGTGTGTCAGGAGGTGTTGGGTGTGTCAGGGGGGTTGGGTGTGTCAGGAGGTGTTGGGTGTGTCAGGAGGTGTTGGGTGTGTCAGGGGTGTTGGGTGTGTCAGGGGGTGTTGGGTGTGTCAGGGGGTGTTGGGTGTCAGGGGGTGTTGGGTGTGGGGGTGTTGGGTGTGTCAGGAGGTGTTGGGTGTGTCAGGGGGTGTTGGGTGTGTCAGGAGGTGTTGGGTGTGTCAGGAGGTGTTGGGTGTGTCAGGAGGTGTTGGGTGTGTCAGGAGGTGTTGGGTGTGTCAGGGGGTGTTGGGTGTGTCAGGGGGTGTTGGGTGTGTCAGGTGTTGGGTGTGTCAGGAGGTGTTGGGTGTGTCAGGGGGGTGTTGGGTGTGTCAGGGGGTGTTGGGTGTGACAGGAGGTGTTGGGTGTGTCAGGAGGTGTTGGGTGTGTCAGGGGGGTGTTGGGTGTGTCAGGGGGTGTTGGGTGTGTCAGGAGGTGTTGGGTGTGTCAGGAGGTGTTGGGTGTGTCAGGGGGGTGTTGGGTGTGTCAGGGGGTGTTGGGTGTGTCAGGAGGTGTTGGGTGTGTCAGGAGGTGTTGGGTGTGTCAGGGGGGTGTTGGGTGTGTCAGGGGGTGTTGGGTGTGTCAGGAGGTGTTGGGTGTGTCAGGGGGTGTTGGGTGTGTCAGGGGGTGTTGGGTGTGTCAGGGGGTGTTGGGTGTGTCAGGAGGTGTTGGGTGTGTCAGGAGGTGTTGGGTGTAAGACAGTACACAGCTGTACACTGGAGGTGACGTCAGTAGTGAGCGGAAGTTGTGTGTGGAGTGGCGGACGGTGCCACTTAGGCCGTCTTCTTGGTGAGGGAGGAGATTGATATTACCGTAATGATGAAGAGAGTGAGGCAGGCGGAGGTAGAGGCGGGCGGAGGTAGAGGCGGGCGGAGGTAGAGGCGGGCGGAGGTAGAGGCAGGCGGAGGTAGAGGCAGGCGGAGGTAGAGGCGGGCGGAGGTAGAGGCAGGCGGAGGTAGAGGCAGGCGGAGGTAGAGGCGGGCGGAGGTAGAGGCGGGCGGAGGTAGAGGCGGGCGGAGGTAGAGGCAGGCGGAGGTAGAGGCAGGCGGAGGTAGAGGCGGGCGGAGGTAGAGGCGGGCGGAGGTAGAGGCGGGCGGAGGTAGAGGCAGGCGGAGGTAGAGGCGGGCGGAGGTAGAGGCGGGCGGAGGTAGAGGCGGGCGGAGGTAGAGGCAGGCGGAGGTAGAGGCAGGCGGAGGTAGAGGCGGGCGGAGGTAGAGGCGGGCGGAGGTAGAGGCGGGCGGAGGTAGAGGCAGGCGGAGGTAGAGGCGGGCGGAGGTAGAGGCAGGCGGAGGTAGAGGCGGGCGGAGGTAGAGGCGGGCGGAGGTAGAGGCGGGCGGAGGTAGAGGCAGGCGGAGGTAGAGGCGGGCGGAGGTAGAGGCGGGCGGAGGTAGAGGCGGGCGGAGGTAGAGGCAGGCGGAGGTAGAGGCAGGCGGAGGTAGAGGCGGGCGGAGGTAGAGGCGGGCGGAGGTAGAGGCGGGCGGAGGTAGAGGCAGGCGGAGGTAGAGGCAGGCGGAGGTAGAGGCGGGCGGAGGTAGAGGCGGGCGGAGGTAGAGGCAGGCGGAGGTAGAGGCAGGCGGAGGTAGAGGCGGGCGGAGGTAGAGGCGGGCGGAGGTAGAGGCGGGCGGAGGTAGAGGCAGGCGGAGGTAGAGGCAGGCGGAGGTAGAGGCGGGCGGAGGTAGAGGCAGGCGGAGGTAGAGGCGGGCGGAGGTAGAGGCAGGCGGAGGTAGAGGCAGGCGGAGGTAGAGGCAGGCGGAGGTAGAGGCAGGCGGAGGTAGAGGCAGGCGGAGGTAGAGGCAGGCGGAGGTAGAGGCGGGCGGAGGTAGAGGCAGGCAGGCCATGAGGAGCCTACAACAAAGTTTTTTTTTTTATCTTTATTTAAGAAAATACAATATAAATCACAAATACATAAGTTTGACAAGACAATTATACATTACAATTCTTAGTGAACAAGTGTTTCAGTAGTACAGAACATGATCTTTAGAAAAAAAAAGAATGTTATACTTATTTACCCATAAACAAATATTGGAGAATAAATTTACATTAAAATACAGGGGAAACTATTACATTTATATATATTTTATATAATTCTCAGTAAACAAATTTTCCATATCATCACCGAGCATGAGCCGTAAACCCCAAATGTCACACCTGATCCTGCCTCGTCGTCGGTCAAGAGGCCTGAAAGGACAACTTTCACACCAGTGACCTACAGTCAATCAAACATCATCGACGACCTTCTGGGTCCTTGGTGTCACACCGCACCGCCACCTCCCCGTCAGCGGCACAGTTATGGCGCCTGATCACCTCCCACCATACACCAGGCCAGGTAACCCAACCTCTGTACCCAACCAGCAGTATCCCCTCACTCCTATATTATTGTTTAATCTATGAGACCCAGCCAACCACGTTGGCCTCAGCCTAGTTAAGCTGAGCATGCGATGATCCGCACCACCCAGTATACCATCACCAAAATATTCTCAACTGTGTACTACACACACGCCAGCATCTGGACTTAGTCATCTCAGCTGAGAAAACAACAGTCGTGAATCGGCGGTGGCTGGCCCGGCGGGGAGGAACTGCTCACAAGCGGCCACTGTGTGATGCCTCTCGCCATGCCTCAGTAACCACAGTCAGATACCTTGGGCTTCAGGTCCCGCTGAAGGGCGCCTGATGCCCTTCCATGCCAGCCTCGTGGCATCACACCACAATATGTCACAATTTCAAAAGGTTTTGTGTCTTTCGTATATTTGATCTTTGATTATGCAGCAGCTTTGCTTATCCTAGTACCTGGAAGACTGCTCTGGGGAGTCTGGAAGACTGCTCTGGGGAGTCTGGAAGACTGCTCTGGGGGCTGGAAGACTGCTCTGGAGTCTGGAGGACTGCTCTGGGGGTCTGGAAGACTGCTCTGGGGAGTCTGGAAGACTGCTCTGGGGTCTGGAAGACTGCTCTGGGGTCTGGAAGACTGCTCTGGGGTCTGGAAGACTGCTCTGGGGTCTGGAAGACTGCTCTGGGGAGTCTGGAAGACTGCTCTGGGTTCTGGAAGACTGCTCTAGGGTCTGGAAGACTGCTCTGGGGGTCTGGAAGACTGCTCTGGGGTCTGGAAGACTGCTCTGGGGTCTGGAAGACTGTTCTGGGGGCTGGAAGACTGCTCTGGGTCTGGAAGACTGCTCTGGGGTCTGGAAGACTGCTCTGGGGTCTGGAAGACTGCTCTGGGGGCTGGAAGACTGCTCTGGGGTCTGGAAGACTGCTCTGGGGGCTGGAAGACTGCTCTGGAGTCTGGAAGACTGCTCTGGGGTCTGGAAGACTGCTCTGGGGTCTGGAAGACTGCTCTGGGGTCTGGAAGACTGCTCTGGGGGTCTGGAAGACTGCTCTGGGGTCTGGAAGACTGCTCTAGGGTCTGGAAGACTGCTCTGGGGGTCTGGAAGACTGCTCTGGGGTCTGGAAGACTGCTCTGGGGTCTGGAAGACTGCTCTGGGGGCTGGAAGACTGCTCTGGGTCTGGAAGACTGCTCTGGGGTCTGGAAGACTGCTCTGGGGGCTGGAAGACTGCTCTGGAGTCTGGAAGACTGCTCAGGGGTCTGGAAGACTGCTCTGGGGTCTGGAAGACTGCTCTGGGGTCTGGAAGACTGCTCTGGGGTCTGGAAGACTGCTCTGGGGAGTCTGGAAGACTGCTCTGGGGTCTGGAAGACTGCTCTAGGGTCTGGAAGACTGCTCTGGGGTCTGGAAGACTGCTCTGGGGTCTGGAAGACTGCTCTGGGGAGTCTGGAAGACTGCTCTGGGGTCTGGAAGACTGCTCTAGGGTCTGGAAGACTGCTCTGGGGGTCTGGAAGACTGCTCTGGGGTCTGGAAGACTGCTCTGGGGTCTGGAAGACTGCTCTGGGGGCTGGAAGACTTCTCTGGGTCTGGAAGACTGCTCTGGGGTCTGAAAGACTGCTCTGGGGGCTGGAAGACTGCTCTGGGGAGTCTGGAAGACTGCTCTGGGGGCTGGAAGACTGCTCTGGGGTCTGGAAGACTGCTCTGGGGGTCTGGAAGACTGCTCTGGGGTCTGGAAGACTGCTCTGGGGTCTGGAAGACTGCTCTGGGGGCTGGAAGACTGCTCTGGGGTCTGGAAGACTGCTCTGGGGTCTGGAAGACTGCTCTGGGGTCTGGAAGACTGCTCTGGGGTCTAGAAGACTGCTCTGGGTTCTGGAAGACTGCTCTGGGGTCTGGAAGACTGCTGTGGGGTGTGGAAGACTGCTCTGGGGTCTGGAGGACTGCTCTGGGTTCTAGAAGACTGCTGTGGGGTCTGGAAGACTGCTCTGGCGTCTGGAAGACTTCTCTGGGGTCTGGAAGACTGCTGTGGGGTCTGAAAGACTGCTGTGGGGTCTGGAAGACTGCTCTGGGGTCTGAAAGACTGCTATGGGGTCTGGAAGACTGCTCTGGCGTCTGGAAGACTTCTCTGGGTCTGGAAGACTGCTCTGGGGTCTAGAAGACTGCTGTGGGGTCTAGAAGACTGCTGTGGGGTCTGGAAGACTGCTCTGGCGTCTGGAAGACTTCTTTGGGGTCTGGAAGACTGCTCTGGGGTCTGAAAGACTGCTCTGGTGCCTGGAAGACTGCTCTGGGGTCTGGAAGACTGCTCTGGGGTCTGGAAGACTGCTCTGGGGTCTGGAGGACTGCTCTGGGGTCTGGAAGACTGCTCTGGGGTCTGGAGGACTGCTCTGGGGTCTGGAAGACTGCTCTGGGGTCTGGAAGAATGTTCTAAGGACGTGGCCGCCATTTTTTATTTTTTTTTTAAATTTTGCCCCGAGGGGCGAGTTTATTGGGCGAAGATGACCCTGTGATGGTCTTGCTGGTACACAGACCTTAATGTCCCATGCAAAAGCGATCAAGTCACTGAAATCTGTTCTTTAGGTGGCATCAAGATGTTGCTTTATTGAAGGTAAATGTTCTCGAAAATGAATTTATAACACAGCATCTGGCCTCAGAATGTATCAGGTTTATGACCTCTACCAAGAGAGACAACAACGGCACTTCTCAGCTCCGTGGTAAATCATACCTACCACAATTACTATCCCTTCCTTTCTGCCCAAGAAGATGATTGAAGAACAACATAAGCACCGTACTGAAGCAGTGTACAGTGCCTTAAGCCAGATGATGCTCTGGTGAGGAAACTAGATTTATTCCTCCAAGGAGTGCCGGACCAACCGGGCTGTGGTGGGTATATGGGCCTGCGGGCCGCTCCAAGCCTAGTGGACCAAACTCTCACAAGTCAAGCCTGGCTTCGGGCCGGGTTTGGGGAGTAGAAGAACTCCCAGAACCCCATCAACCAGGCCGGGCTTGGGGAGTAGAAGAACTCCCAGAACCCCATCAACCAGGTATCAACCAGGCCGGGCTTGGGGAGTAGAAGAACTCCCAGAACCCCATCAACCAGGTATCAACCAAGTAACTGGTGACAGAGCGTCCCTCTCCTCCTCCCCACACTCTCTACTGCTGGCTCCGCGTCCCCTCCTCCCCGCCGGTCCCGACACGAGTGAGGCTTCAGACGGTCCCACTCACAGTGGGCAGATGGTGTAAATAACTGGGCCTCCACTCATCAAACAGAATTGTTTGTTACACTTCTTGCACTCGCACGAACACATGTGTCCAGAGTTAACACATAAATTGTTAGTCACTGTCATGTCTGTGTGACTCCTCGAGACAACTGTAACGTGTGTGTGTGTGTGTAGCAAGGCACACACACACACATATCATCAAATTTAAATTTAAATTAAATTTATCATCAAATCATCAATGATGGAAATCAGAGTTTGTGTGACTTCCATGGATCTGATACTACATTGGCCTCTGAGGGCATGATAGACCTGATCATGTGATCAGGTCACATGATCAGTGATCAGTGATCAGGCGAGGTGATCAGGCCTGATCATGAGCCATGACATGTGCTCTTTCAACCCGTTCTCTTACTAATTACGTCGCTTTTCGCTCATATGTGCACAAAGGCTAAAAATCGCTGTTCTAGAAAATGGAAGCGGCTCGCGAAAGTGACGTACTGTCCCATTTTCTGTTTTTTGTCCTCTGGCTCAGTCTGTTAGGTTAGGACAGGACACTTTAAATAAGAAACCTTAGGAGAACTTCCTGCTAACCAATCACAGGACCCAAAACTTGCCGCTTCGGCTCCATTTTACTTTGAAAATTAATTTCCATTTTTTTGAAAATTCCAATACGGCGATTTTTGGAGGCTGATGCCACTCATATAACTGAGGACTCTACAAGAAGTGTAATAGAGCGAACATTGAGTGGACGTTACACTTGATGACCATCTTCCATACTATGATGTAGGAAGAGTCACATATATATGTATCGTCCTGTCGGGTTAGCAGATTTCTAGACATTACTGCAGCTAGGCTTAGGCTACAAGTACCTCTCACAGTTTACACCACCTGCTGAAGTGGAGGTAACCAAATGTAAACTATATCATCAGAACTATCCACATACCTTACGTCGCTATGTAATTGAATCATACAAAATTCAAGAGTTTAGTGAGAACTCAATCAGTAAAATTCAAGAAATGTTAATGTATTTTCCGGCGAGATGACACGTAATCGTATCCAGGTATTCCAAGTTTACTTGTTACATAGAGTACCCAGACACACACATACACACACACACACACACACACACACACACACACACACACACACACACACACACACACACACACACACACACACACACACACACACACACACACACACACACACACACACACACACACTGTAAGCTTGTAGCGAAGCTCTCTGTAAGACGCTGCCACTATTCAGTGTGTGTTTAATGCACACTTTGCCTCTTTGTCGTGAACTCGTGGCAGAAAACATGTAGTCAGACTTTGCGTGTTTTGTTAGACAATGTTAACATCTATTTAGTGAATTTTAGTGACGATTTAGAGACCGAAAACTGGATCCCGGTGAGCACAAGCCCCCAGGGGCGGTAGTGAGACAACTACCAGACCGTCAGCTTGAAGTGTGTCTACATTGTTGCTTACAGAGACAAATGAAAATTAGGAAACGTTTCTGGACGTTGATCTGCACGGATAGATTCCTCAAGCTGGGAAGCTTTACATTAAAGCTGTATTGCTCGGTAGAACTTATATATGTGTGTGTGTGATTATACGCTTTTTACCATAAAGCAATTAACATGAAAGACTGGACAAGAGTCTTGGAGTTGTCAATACCAAGGTGTGGGTCCTCGCCCGCACACATCTCCTTGCTCGGTAAGACTATGACTAACTAGTTCTGTTTACATTCAGAGCGTGTAAAGTAATAAGTCCAGTGGTGGTGGGCGGCGGCGGGGTGGTGGCAGTGGTGGTGGGCGGCGGGGTGGTGGCAGTGGTGGGCGGAGGGGTGTGGCGGCGGCGGGGTGGTGGCAGTGGTGGTGGGCGGCGGCAGTGGTGGTGGGCGGCGGGTGGTGGCAGTGGTGGTGGGCGGCGAGTAAATACAGAATACTGGGATTTAGTTCCTAAGCCCATTATGTGCCTCTGTAACCTTTTCCACTGTCACTCATGGAGCACAGCAAATTGTATAGTTAATTACCTGGCTAATGACACAGCTAAGTACTCTGTATTTGTCGACATCAAAGGAGCTTTCGACAAAGCACAGGGAATTGCGATCCTGGACGAGCTTGCATGCATGGGTGTCAAGGGGAGACTCATGAAATGGATTGAAGACTACCTCACAGGGAGGAAAGCCAAGGTCTGTTTCAATGAAGCAATGAATATGGAACTCGGGACCCCCCAAGGAGCAGTCTTAAGCCCCACACTATTCAATGTACTTATGAACGCCATTGCAAATATTGACTTTCCGGAAGGAACACAACAAGTTGAATAAGCAGATGATGTTCTAATACAAGCTCCCACCTTGGGAAAAATTGAACAGTCTATTGAACTCCTCGGAAATAGGAGCATTGAGCTCGGTTTCACTCTCTCCACCAACAAGACAAAAGCATACTCTCATCACAAGCGGGGAGAAAATGAAGAAGGAGCTCAATCAACTCATAGGAACATGCAAAAGTTGACACAGGGCTCTGAAAGCCATGACCTGGAATGGGCATGGAGCCTCTATCGCCGTGCTTAAAATGATGTACACAGCCTATGTGCGCTCCGTCATAGACTATGCCGCACCAGTACTGTGCACCTTCTCCCAAAGCAATATGAATAGGCTCGAGAGTATTCAGAATGAAGCCATGACAATCATTCTTGGAGTTCCAAGAACTGCCAAAACGTCTAATCTACGAGAGGAGTTGTCCCTCCCCAGTGTTAAAAGCAGAATTAAGGAGCTGAATGTTAAGATTGCAATTAGGATAGCCAGAGATCCCCATTACAATGATATTGCTAAGAAAAAAACTCTGAGCTCTGTGCTACTTTCAGGGGGAAACAGGAGAAGCAAAAAATGGCATCACAGATCAGTCTGCTACCTTGAAGAACTTCACCTGCTTGAGCAAGCCCGTGAGCTCCTGCCTGTAGAGAGGTTACCTCCCTGGGAGGATGACTCATGCAAGATCATCATCAATGAAATGGCAACGAAAAAATCCAACATGATACCACAAGAAATGAGGCACAAGTATCTCGAGGAAATTTATAAAGAAGCCGGAGATGAACTAGATCAAATCTACACTGACGGGTCATCTAATCCTGTCAATGGCAGGGCTGGTGCAGCATACACTGTAATTAAGGATAATGCTTTCCAACGCAGAAATGAAGAAAAAGCGCGTATTGAGAACTATGCCTCTTCAACACAAGCAGAGCTAACTGCCATTGTTATGGCGTTAAGGTTTCTTGAACGGAACACTAATGGTGCAGTGATTTGCACCGATTCAAAAGCAGCACTGCAAAACCTAAGTAAAAATCGAGCAGAAAATCTTGCAATAGTCGCTGAAATTAAGAGAGCTGTGAGAGTACTTACCAATCAGGGAAGAGTCATCAAGTTTCTGTGGATCCCCTCCCATGTTGGAATATGTGGGAATGAACGAGCAGATATGCTGGCTGCAGAAGGCGCTGAAGGAGACCATACTGAATACTTCACCCAAGACTCTACTACAAATTAGAGGTATTGTCAGGCAACATCACCGTGACAAGGTAACTGAGGAAAGGAGGATAGAAGCACAAACCAGTGAATCTGTACGATGGTACAACATGGTTGCAGCTGGCAATCCCAATCATTATGGCCGAAGAGGAGGAGGACGAGGGAGAGAATCAGTAATAGCGAGAATCCGTCTTGGATACAAATATCCATGGAGATATGGAATGGAAACAACAGTTGATCAGCGAAGTTGCAGAATCTGTGATGAGAGTGACGGACACCGCCTTGACCACTATCTACGTGTATGTGAACACCTGAGAGACATTAGAAATATGTGTAGAATAATAAACCCCACATTGTTTGAGTTAGGAAAACACTATTTGTCAAATATTGATACTGTTCTTAAAAGATTTCCCCATTTTGCACCCGCATGATAACGTAAGCTTTTAAGGGTTGATAGATGTTAATCTTCTTGTTTGAGGAGCTGTTCACTTGAGACAGTTAAGCAAGTCCCAGCTGTGTCTGGGTACAAGTGACAGGATGAACATCCCAGCGGGTTTTCTTCCTATTGGGGAATGTTGTACATGCTGCTATGGCGGTGTGTCCACTCATAAGATGAGTGGCGCTGCCCAATAAACTTGCCCTCGGGGCAAAATTAAAAAAAAAAGGATGGGTATGGGGGTCCACTGTCACTCACAGGATG